CTTTCCCTATTTTTTATAGCCAGGACTTGGAAGCTCTCTTTTGTTGAGTTTTCTGTTCAGACAAATAAATGTGTGTCTGTGTGTGCACATGTGTGTATGAGAGACAGGCAACAGGTAACAAGGAAACTGAGTCAAAGCCCAACTCTGACTCACAGGAAAAACATTGGATTTGTTCTAACTTGGAGCTCATTGCTAGCTCATTCCAGAGATCTTCTTACAGTTGGCAATATTACAATGCTTTCTAGTTTTCTTTCCTACTCTTGAGTGGCACTTGTGTTTCTGTCTCCACCAAGCCCCAGAAAATGCCCAGTTAAAGATTTATGGCTGTCTTTGTTCTTATGGTGACATCATCAGAGTGATATAAATAGACTGCACTGGTAGAATTTTCTGCCTTTGAGAGAGTACGCGATAAACAACTTATTCATCTGCTTGATAGAAGCATTACTCCTTCAGGCATGTATCTTGTGAGGAACCCATACCTGACCTCCCTGAGAAACGCCTATCTGGTGTCGTGATGGAAAGTGAGAAATGGGGCCACTTCAGCTTGGCAGACCAAAGGCCACACCCTGAAAATTGCCACCACAGGTAAAGGTAATGGGAACAGCTGGTCAAAAGCATCAATAAAAACAAAAACCTGACTCAGAAGAGCAAATAAACCATGAGACATTTTCTTTACAGCATTGTTCTGGGGGTTGCACAGATATGCCAAGCAAGGTTTGCTCATTAGAAGGCAGGTCTACATTTGAGCTTGTTAAGAATGCAAGATGAGGCTTTGCATCTCATTTAGCAAGTCTTCAAATCATTTGACCACATTTCTTTCCTGTAGATTCCCTCCTAATCATTCCACTGAGAACAGAGCAGATAATCTTACATTTAATTTATGCAGCTTTGTTGTTAAGAAGAGTTAATAATGCAAAATTATTTATCCTCAAGGAATAATTTAACCATCCCTCCCCCTTCCTGAATGAAAGAAGAGAAAAGAAAGGTGGATCTGGTTCAAACGGTCAAATAAGCACATACAAACCTCCTCACAGATTTGCATCTTTAATATGGGCATGTGTAAGCTCCCGTTGTGTATGCAAATATATATTGCACATACACGCTGTTCTTCAGAGTGAGTTTTGTCTAAGTACTCTGTTGCAAGCACATGTTTCAAAATCTGGGCCTTGTTGCTTTAAAATATTCAAGCACGGGAGCAGAATTTTATTGCTGTCATCTGGATAATTAAACTCTTCATTAACAGTTGTTCTCAAACCAGTAGGTGACCTTTAATTAGGAATGAAAGTACTCAGGAATGGATCTCAAGAATTAAGAAACTGCAGAGGACCCTTTGCCCCCCACCTTACCCAAGTCCACTGAAAATCTTTTGTAAAGCACTGATTTTCCAAGAGAAATTATGCTGGGTGAGGCAAAAATATGTTTCTAGGTCCAAAACATCAGATTAATGCTTTGCTTAACCTTGTTGTAACTAAATATTGTATTTTCTTTTTTCTGTCTCATGCAGGCTTCGCCATGTGTTACCTGGATCTTTGTTACCCCAACCTGGACAACTGCAGTAAGTTGTACCCACACCAAAAAAGAACAGAAAAAATTAGCAAGATCACAATGAGAGCAGTGCACAGATGGGCATGTGCTGTATTTATGAGTGGGTGGAAGATTGCAGGGTAGGATGGAGCAATATGGGCTTTTCTGTTGAGTCATCCAAATATCCAATGCTAAAATTCTGCATTAAACGGGCTATTTTGGCTGTAGTTCCCAGGGAACAAGCAATAGCAATTTGCATGGGAAAATCTATGGAGACATAACCTTAAAAGGAAGTTCAAGTCATGAGGTTTTATTTCATTGTT